ACGCGCCGGGTTGTGGGCTCGATCCCCAGAAGGGGGTGTGCAGGAAGCAGCCAATCAATGACTCTCTCTCATCATTGATGTTTCTTTCTCTCCCTCTCCCTTCCTCTGTGAAATCAATACAAATATATATATTTTTTAAAAGCACTATGTAGAATAATGATTTTATGATCACAATGAATGGTGCTAAAGTATACCAACAATATCCCAGTAGACAATCTATTTCTTTAGTCTGTTTAAAAAAATGAATATCCCTAATCATTTGTTTTTATTGTTTTTCTGAACACCTATCATTTTTTTCTATCTTATTATTATCTACTAGAGGCCCAGTGCACGAATTCGTACATAGGTAGGATCTCTCAGCCTGGCCAGCCCAGCAGGGTGGGCAAGGGGTAGGGACCAAGGGAGGTTCACCAGCCGGCCCCACCCCCATTCGGGGACCACCAGGGCCAGGCCAGCTGGGGGAGAGACCCCAGGAGGTTGGTTGGCCTGGGGAGGGACCGCGGGAAGCTGGCTGAGGGGGGAGGGACCACAGGAGATTGGCTGGCCAGGGGGAGGGACTACGGTTTGTTGGTTATGGGAGCACACTGACCACCAGGGGGTTCCTGCATTGAGCATTTGCCCCCTGGTGGTCAGTGCACATCATAGCGACCAGTCATTCGGTCATTTGGTCGTAACGGTCGCTTAGGCTTTTCTATATATAGATCTTTAACAGACTTAGCAAGCAGTAGGAGGATGTAGATGGCTTCTCTTAGGCAACGGTGTTCACAGTGCGTGCTGATGCCAGACACTGTGCTAAGTGCTGGTCCAGGACTTGGTCCTTGTCACCATGAAGTCTCTACTCCGTTGGAGAATATAAACGTCCAATAACTCCAAGGATGATGACTGTTATAAAAATCACAGGTGGTGGGGGGACGTCTATCAGAAGAACCTAATCAAGTCTGGTGGCTGGGATTACCTCCCTGAGGAAGGCATGCACTGAGAGAGAGATGCGGAGGAGCTAACCAGGCAATATGGTCAGGATGGTAGGACAGATGTTCTGGTAAAAGGAGGGAATGCAAAGAGGTCCTGAGGAAAGAGACAATGAAATACATGCTATGGCTCTACAAATGAGTATGTGGGCTAGAGAAAGAGGAAGCCGGACTAGCAGATGCTCGGTCATGAAGGGCTTTTTAGACTCTTTAATTAAGTATTTGTATGTCTCACTGAGGACCACATCCAGCCCCTACTGGGCTTTAAGAGCGTGGTGACCCAATTTACTTTGTAAAAGGTTGCTCTAGCTCAGTGATGGCGAACCTATGACACGCGAGTCAGAGGTGACTTGCAAACTCATCTTTTTGGTTTATTTTTGTTAAATGGCATTTAAATATATAAAATAAATATCAAAAATATAAATCTTTGTTTTACTATGGTTGCAAAGATCAAAAAAATTTCTATATGTGACACGGCACCAGAGTTAAGTTAGGGTTTTTCAAAATGCTGACACGCGGAGCTCAAAAGGTTCGCCATCACTGCTCTAGCTACCTGAAGGAGAACAGATGAGAGGGGCAAGAGTGGAAGCAGAAAGACTCAGGAAGTGACTGAGGTTGCCCAGGCAAGCAAGAGGTGAATGTAGAAAAAACAAAGTAAATCTATCCACCTGGTCTTTTATGGATGATGCAATTATATGGTGTCCATGGATTCAGGCTTTCATTCATTCAGACATTTACTATTGTCTGGTATGTAGTGGGCACCATGACAACAAGGGTGAATAAGACAAAACATTCCTTATCCTCAGGGTACTTACAGGAGTAAAAGAAAATTCCTGACCAGTTCAAGAATCTGAACTATTTCAAATGTAAAGAATATACAGAGCACAGAATATAAGCGAAGAGTGAAAGGTAAGAGGGTGCACCCTCATAAGCTCAATAGCTTCCTTTCTTATAAGGGCAATAGAAAATGGCAGAAATGCCCGTTTAAATAATTTCCCTGAAAACACTGTGAAAAATGGACTGGAAGGCAACCAGGTCAGACCCAGGCACCTTTGTTCACGCCTTTGCCCTCTGCCTAGAATGCGGTTCTCTCTGGCAAAGACCTTCGCCTTTCACGGCTTAGTCAAGCCTCCCTTAACTCTAAACAGGAGGAAGAGTCAATTAACATCTTTTCTTCCAAGTTTACACGAACATACTGCCAGTAGCACTCAATGCTGCAATTATTGATTAACTTGTCTGCAATCCTCCTCACTTGATAAGAAGCTTCTTGAAGGAAAAGAACAGTCTTGCATACCCCCATCTAAACCGGAATTCTGCCTGATGCATTTACTGCGATAATCGCCAGTGCCGACAATACCGCCTGACACATAATGGGCACTCAATGTCTCTTCAATCAAAACAGGAAGAAAGGAATGTGACCTTTTCATCAGAGCTCCAATTTTCCTCTTCTGAGCCCAGTAGTAATTTGGTTAGTAAAAATAAGGTCCAAATTAGTCTACATTAACTCCCAAAGAGAACCAGTGCCTGTTAAGTAAAAGTTCACATGTGAACATGTCAACAAGGATCA